CACTTACCTCATACTGTGTGGAGGGTTAAGTAATCTCAAACAGACTCGCTTATGCGGTTTCTGACACTGTGTGACAGACTGTTATATAGACAAACATACAAAGTACAACACAGAGCTGAAACAACTGACATTTTGAAACCAGAACTTCCCACTACTTGTTACATAAGTCTCATATTGAGTGTTGTAACTTGGATTTTATGAGCCTTTCTGCAAAAGGCAATTTGCTTGTTTACTCACGTCTATTTATTCAAACCCTAACTTGGTGAGTAAATCAGTGGTAATGGTTGACATATATCCAATGCGTCAAACGCAAGGCCCGCAGGCCAAGTCAGGCTCAGCCAGGCCCAGAGCATGGAACTGTTTTTATTTTCTGTTAATATTAGCCCATTTCACAGTGTGCTGCACTACAATCCCCAACATGCACTGCAACATAAAGTGCACTCCAACCCCCCTCCCCCAACAACAACCTACGGGACAGCGGTTACACCTCAATCCTACCACACCGGTCACATCATCAGACAGACCAGCTGTGTTTCAGCAGCAGTCCAACCAATATAAATACTTGGCTAACTAAAAAACACCTAGTTTGCTAAAAGTGAGACGTGGACAACGAACACTGGGGATTTCAGGACAGGTGGGAGCTCAAATACCTTTACGTCCAATATCTGTCTCGTTTGCAGAGATGGTGTGGCTGTAATGAAGGAAGTACCACTATGAAACAAAACACCGCAGAGTTGTATTGACTGCAGCGGCATCAGGAAAGTGGCGGAGATGAAGAACGGCTCTCTGGCCCTCTGATCTGTTGAGATTTTTGATATGGCCCTCTTAATGGTTGAGTTTGACACCCCTGACATTATCATAGCTACCCATGAGTTATTGGCATAAGTAGCGATATAAGAGTCCAAAGACCAGATGAGTCCCATAGGCCCCTATGTGCTACATGCTTCTGCCCTACCTGCACTCCTAGTAGTCAGTTGTTTTAGCTATATGACGTGTTTTTTTCTAGATAATAGTTTGTCTTACCATGTCAGAGACCACATAAACAAGTCCACTGCTCATATCTCCAAAGCAAAACTAAAGAAGCAAATTTCAGACACCAAACATGTCCACAGCTGGAGTAAGTGGGACCACTGTGCACGTTTAATTTCCCACCAAAATATCACTTTAAAGTACTAGAATACCTTAAAATACTAGAATACCCTGCAAGCTGATGAGAACATTTTCTAAGATGAGTCTGTCCCCTCTAGCTGAAAATGTCCCCCCGTGTATGGAACTGTGCAATGTTCATTTATTTAATTCAGTCAAAATAGCCATTAAATAGCCATTAAAAGTTCTTTTTCAGGTGATACCGCTGAGGAGACTAGATAATCCACTTGCATAAGGAAGGAGAAAGTCAGCTTCCAAAACTGCAGATCTAAACTGGTTAAAACATACAGTGAAAATGAGGCTCCTAACAACCACCTGAAAGAGCTGGTCGACCCCAAAACTGCCCCATCAGATAAACAGCACTTAAAGCTTTCATCTCTGAGAGAGAGGAGAAAATCAAGCTGATCAGATCTGAAAACATCCACAGGTGTTTCTGTCCATCCTTCCACTGTGAGAAGACAACTCAGCGCTGTGGGTCTGAACTTTGGAGGTGTGGAAAAATATCCCTGCAGATTCTTTGAAAAACTGAAAGCAAGTCTCCTAAAAGTATGGAAGCTGTAATGAAGGTAAACTGTGGATACATTAACTGGAAAAATATATTTAGTTGTTTAGTTTTCAGTTATGGATTTGCTGTTTTACTGTTGACAGTGGAAAATGAATAACTTGTACTTAATGGCCATTCTGACTGGCAGTTAAGCTAGGATGGGCTTTTGCACAGTACTGTGAACGAATGTACTGAGGAAAAACTGCTTCTGCAAGACGTTTGAAGTAGCAGTGCTCAAGATTTCACGCTTTTACGACGCTGAGAGGGGTCGAGCGACCCTGAGAAGGCCCAGACCCTTTGACCCTGACCACCTGCAGGCTGATTCACTTTCTACTTTGACTCCCGACAAAAGAAAATGTTCATGCAAGAGTTGATACAGCTTGCAGGATATACATTGACCGCAGATGTTCCTGTCCACCCCCATATTTTAATGCCACAAATAGTCCATTTCAGGGCCAGTCAAGGCAAGCTGGCCTTCAAAGTGCTCAGCTAGGGCCACTGCATGACTTGTTTGTCTGTACGTTACATTCTGGCTGAGACTTTTTTGCGGAACGTGGCCCATCATCAAAAGTTTAGAAACATCTTGCCCTCTGCGATTTAAATTCTCTCAGAGCTACTTTTAAATGAAAGTCAACTTTAAATCAAAAATGAGCTTTTGTTTTCCCTGTTAGCTCACATCCTCGGTCAAATCAAGTATGATTCATTGTGTCATTTATTGGTGTATTCACACTTGCGCCAAGTGGACTGCTGAGTCACAGTTTTCCGTGCACATCCGAATACCTCAAATGAACTCAGACCCCTTTAAACAGCCCCAGTGTGGTCTGAGTACAGTTTTAAGGCTTTTTATTAAGGGTGAAAAATATTTTGTGGTTTAACTGATTTGTGCATTGTGAAAAAAAACAGCCCCAGTCCGCCTTGTGTTTTGCTTTATGGTCAAAAGACCTCAAGACTTATTGAATGGAAACACCCACAGTTTTCCAGCACCTTAGCAGGTAAAAACAGACCACCAAAGATGATATATAGGGTACTACTCAGGATAAAGCCTGCCTGAGATATTGTGACAAGTCAGCAGTGCAGAACTATGATTCTATCATGTTAAAGCTGATGTTAGGCATGCAGGCAAAACCCCCTACTTGAATTAAAATCACTCAAAATGATTACTGCTGTAATTAAACAGTGACAAAAACTAATATATGGTATAAGAAATACATGTTGAATAAAGAAATGTATTTACATCAAAAAAATTATGAAAAACAGTGACAAAGCTTTGCACTATTGGAATTGGGAGTATTTTACTATGGGCTCAAATGTGTGTGCTAAAGTTAAACACTACCCAAAATGCAACGTTTCCTAGATGGGGTCTGAGTTCTAAAGGAGTTGTGGTGTGAACAATAACTGGTCTGAGATCTCATCAATGCTAAAAAGGACTAGAAAGAGAACAGAGTCCCCTTTAACGTTCACTTACACTGTAAACACAAAAGGAACTAAGGTTACTGCAGCTGGTTCACTTTCAGGTTCACTTTAACGGAACTGAGTCTGGTTCTGTTTAAAAACTATGCATGAAAATACACTAAAAGACAAAATTCCTGGTTTCCCATAATCTCTGACCTGAACTTAGAGACTTTTTATTCCCTCTAAAGTGTCTTTTGAGTTTTGATAACGTGCAAAAATAATATCAAACAGTGATATCATGTCTGACCTCCCCCTTTCATCACCCTCCCAGCTATAAACGAGAGAAAATACTCAGCTCTCCCGATACCACGATTCACATGCTAACGCTTCACTACGTGGAAAGTAAATGTGTTAGGACTTCCCATTCTCGTTAACTTTAAATAAAAAGGAAAACCATCACTAAATGTTTAGTGATGTTAGCATATAACAGCTGGATATTAAGAGCAGATATTCGGCACATGTTCACATACTAAGCACATATTTTGGCCCAAAGATGGTTTAAACACCTGAGTGATGAGTGGAGTGTCTGAGAGGAAAAAGCAGAGTCAGCTTTCTGTTTAATACAGTAACTTACTGTAAACTAATGAAGAAAAGAAGCTCGTTTGTTTTTAAAACATTTTGAAAAGCTGGGTGTTCCCAATGCCATGTTTGCCAACATGAATTCTTCATTTTTATTGATATTTATTATAAAATATGGGAATTCTGACTGATACTGATATTAAATATTTTTTCATATACAGTTGAAAAAGTTGCAAAAGTTTGGCTCATTTTCTAAGCTAAAATCATGTTAAGACTTACTTTCATTACACATTAACATTATTGTTTTCCTTCCTTGGAAAAGCTGTCATTTATCACCACTGGTCAAATTAGATGGTTTTTATTTATTTATTTATTTTTTTTTGTTGAATTTCTAACACTGACTTATCCTTAACAGGAAACAAACTTAAATGTGGTATTTTTCTGTAAATTTTAGAGCACATCTTATGTTTTTTCTTCCTAATATGTTATTTACAAGGAAATTTACGATAAGATCTTGTGTTTCTATATATTAAGTGTGGTTGAAATGAGTGAGAGGGGATTTTCTAACATGGCTCTATTCCTCCCAGCGAAGTGCAGACTGTGGACTAGATCTGGAATAGAGGTGGAATAGAGGTGGACTCTATAACTGAATAGAGGTGCAAATCAGTAGCTGTCAACATTCCCATGGAACGAGTTACGTGAATTCGCACCTTTAAAAAATTCAAATAACTAACTTCAGCCCTGCGTTTTCTTCTCACTCCGGTAACTTACACATTTGCGTGATTTCACTAATTAATTAGCATATGTGAGTTATTAGCACAGGTATGGGATCCTCGCATTAAGCAATGCTGGCACTCAATCTACTGTTCTTTGTCCATCATTATAGTACTTGACTGAGAAACATCAGGGATATAGTGGATTGTGTTAAATCAAACCAAAGAAATCATCCGTAATCATTACAGCATGAAATCTAACCGTATTCAACTCACAGCGAACCGTGTATCAAAAAAAAATATTAACTTGCATCTCATGACACCCCTAGGCTCTACTGAGATGTAGGCTGTGTCATGTATTTCTCCTCTTAAGCAGCTCTAGCATAATGCCACACTTATAGCCTGTATACAAAAACTGAGGCATGACAGTACCCTTAATAAAGAACCTACTTCATTATCAGTTGAAAGTCAAGTCATGACAAGGCTGGCAAACTCTAAATGAAGCCCACTGGTCATGTTCAGTTCCAGAGACTGTCTCAATGTTTGTTCATATCTGTAAAAATGAAACACTCTTTACAAGCACCCAGCACACAACTCAAACTCCGCTCGTGACCAGATGGACTTACGTTGTCGAGCTCTTTCTGATTGCCGAAGAGCGCGTGATAACGCCGATATTTCCCCTCGCGGTATTTAGCTGCGATGAAGCGCCGTCTCTCCTCGCTGCTACTGCACGCACTCAGCGCCTCACTAGGAGGGACGTTAGCCGCCCAGAACTGATTGGCTCGATCGTTGCCCACTACCAGGAACAGCTGTTGTAGAGGAAACAGAATAATGGAGGGAGGGAAAATACTCAGTACCAGGAGGAGCAGAAGACAGATGGCAGTTTAAAAGAACGAACACACACAGAAGATTCTGGATTTTACCTGGATTAGATCATCAGTCCACACTTTCTTGTCCATTTTCAGACTCCGTACTTTTGATATGCTGGGGCCGAGACCACGGTGCTCTCCTAGAACCAAACGGAGAGGAAAGGTCATTTATGCTCACAGACAGAGAGACAGCTTCAGTCTGTTGGGTATCATAGTTAGGCTACAGCTGGTTTAGCTTTGTTGTTCGTTAAGAGTTGTAGTTGAATTGTAAGCGCTTGGTTTCGTTAGTCTGCTGGGTGTTGCAGTTAGGTTGTAGCTCAGTTTGGTTAGAGCTGTAGTGTGCTGGTTGTTATTAGGTTGTGCCTAATTTGGTTTTGTTTGAGCTGTAGTTTGTTAGTCGCTTTTATTGTACCTGTAGTTTGTTAGGTGTTGTAGTCAGAGTGCGGATAGTTGGTTTTGCTAAAGTTGTAGTTTGCTAGGTGTCGTTATTAGGTTTATAGCTAGTTGGATTTCATGTTGAAGCTGTAGACTGTTGGGCGTTGTAGGTCAATTGGAGCAAGTCTGGTTTTACTGTAGGTTGTTGGGGGTTGTTAGGTTGTGCCTAATTCAGTTTTGTTTGCGCTGTAGTTTGTTGGGTTTTAGGCTGTGGGTAGTTGGTTCTATTGTAACTGTAGTTTGCTTGGTGTAGTGAAAACATGGATAGTTGGTTTTGCTATAGCTGTAGCTTGAAAGTTTGTACTTCGTAGCTAGTTGGTATTCTTGTAGCTGTAGTTTGTTGGATGTTATAGTTAAGTTGTAGTTAGTTGTGATTTGTTATACCTGCAGTCTGTTGGGTGTTGTAGTTAAACTGTAGGTAGTTTGTGCTGTGTTACGGCTGTAGTTTTTAGGTGCTGTAGTTACACTGTAGCTAGTTGGCTTTGTTGTAGCTGTGGTCTGTTTGGCGTTGTAGTTAAGCTGTAGCTAGTTGGTATTGTGGCAGTAGTTTTTAGGTGCTGTAGTTACACTGTAGCTAGTTGGCTTTGTTGTAGCTGTAGTTTGTTGGGTGTTGTAGTGAAATTGTAGACAGCTGGCTATTTTTTGAGGTTGTTGAGTTAGCCTGAAGATGTTTACCTGCACAGCGTTTGCAGAAGACCACACACAGATTGATGGCTGCCCACTCGGGTTTGGATGGCACCACAGTCGGCACATTTCTGATTGGCTGGCTCCCCCCATATCTTCTCAGCAACCTCATAATTGGACAGTGCTTCTGCGATGGAGTTGCGCATGGCCTCCACCCACTGGTCTTTTAGCTGGTCAGTCTCTGCTACAAAACTGCATTGAGAGGACAGAGAGCCGCTGTTGTAATTCTTTACAAAATACAAAAACTGTTGGCTCATCTGATCTGAAAAATAAGTATATTTTAATGTTAAATAAATGTTAAATGTTAAATAATATAGACACACGTGCACACGTACACCCACAAAGAAGCTGCATACCATAGGTCAGAAATCAACCCTTTCCCATGTATACACACACACACACACACACACACACACACACACACACACACGTCCAGATCACACAGAACACGTTATTTCAGCTGGCCAACCCACATGATGGGGAATCAGACTTGAGGTGAAGGAACGATTTAAGAACGAGTAAATGGAGCATGGAGTGGTCAGGTGTAAAATAAAGCATGTACAAAATCAATGAACAAAAGGAAAGATGGCCAGAGAACTGACCTAAATATGCAGTAGGAAATGGTCAGGTCTGACTCAACTGAAAACAGGAGTAAATGGGGGCTGTCAAAACAGGTGAATAGACTGATAGATAGAAAGATGGATGGACAGAGGGGGTAGGAGGGACAGACAGAATGAATGGATGGATGGGTGGATGAATGACAGACCTGGGTATGTGGTAGGGTGTGGTCAGTTCTGACCAGAAAATGACAGTGATTAGGTCCTGTCAAAAAGGGCCTGTTTACATCTTGTATTAACTTGCATTTCACTCGACCACATAAAAACCCAGGTGCAAAACACGGACAGGATGCGTTATGAACGGACGATGATCAGATCAGTCAAAACAAATTCAGAGGTGGACAGAGACCGATATTGACCATGTTTACCACTTAGCGTAAACAGAATCTGTTTTAGGTATCTGCATATAATTACACATGCAGAAATGCATCTGCTGAGCGCTGAATAGGAGGTGAGAGAATAAACAACAAAGCGAATGATGGAGGAAACGCGGGGCTAAAGTTAGTCCCAAACCAAGAGCCTTCACGCACTCCGGCCCGGTGAAAGCGCCCAGGTCAATCTTGTACTTGTATTCAGAAGCTTTTTATGCAGTACAATTGGATCTTATCTGGTCACACAGAGGACGCATAATTCAGTGACTGTGTCCATCAAAAAGAGACAATGGATGGATGGATGGATGGATGGCCAAATAGATGACTGACCTGAATATACGGTAGGGAGTGGTCAGGTCAAACGCTCTTCTGTCCATGTCTTTCACGTTCCCCACATTCATGTCTATAGATGTAATCCCAATGCCCAGCTTATAGTCCTGAGAGAGAGAGAGAGAGAGAGAGAGAGAGAGAGAGAGAGAGAGAGAGAGAGAGAAACGGAACATACTGACACATTTCGCAATGTCAGTTTAGCAATGATACAGCAAAAAAACACACACACACACACACACACACACACACACACACACACACACACACACACTGCAGAGTTTTGTCAGACTCTTTGTTTTTCTATAATGTGGCAATGAAAGATCAAGAAAAGTTCAGTTGTTACCACAACACTGGAGTTCAATGAAAGACGACACAAAGGCAAAACATATTAATTAAAAAATACCACAATGTGATTAAACTGCTAAATTTTGCAACTGCAATATGACACACTGGTCACTTTGATGTGTTATAATTAAAGACTGGCCTGCATTAATTTGACCACAATAACTGACTTTATTTGGATTACATAACAGAAACTAAATTGGAGTTGTGATTGGTCAGAATACTCACAGCACACAGTAAACAACACTGTGATCGGTCAGAGGGCTCAGAAGCATGTAGTGGTCTTTTGCTATATCAGTATCTATAAGGTTATTCATCACCATTATGATTAAATTAATAATCAATACACTGTGCAGCTCTGACACAGATAAACACCTGCAACCACACAGACACAGGCAAACGCAGAAACCCGGCTTCTTTACCTCAGCGTTCTTGTAGAGGAAGACTTTGTCTCCACACACCACGGTGTAGAGTTTGGAGCGCAGGCCCCGCAGCTCCAGATAACCTTTCATCTCACAAGTCACCAAGGGGTTAAGGGTCAACTCTCTGCTCACTCTTGCACGAGCTGGACCTGTCATATCCTGCAGCACTGACACCCACTCATTCCTCTCAGCTGACACACAAACAGAGAGCAAAAAATTATAGTTAAATTACTAAACTGTCTTTTATTAAATTACTGATATAAAAGTATATTACATAATAGCTACTTCATCCTGGTTAGATAGTAATGTTAGTTTAGTTAGTAGCCCAGTAATAAAGTTACTACACTATAACACTTTACTACACTTTGACTACTTTAGTTAGCCACAGTTAGTCACATTAGTCAGTAATATAATAAAAAGGTAGCTAGCTATACTGTGACTGCTTTAGTTATCTACAGTTAGTAAGGTTAATTTAGTAATGTAAAGTAGTTAGTTATACTATGTAAAGCAGTAGTTATCTAAGTAACGTTACTTAAGTCAGTAAAGCTATAACAGCAGCAACAGTCAGTAGTATTAGTTTAGTTTGTAGTTTTTAGTTTAGGAGGTAGTCGGTCACACTAACTGCTTTAGTGAGCTACAGTTAGTAACATTAGTTAGTGGTGTAATAACAAAACTAAGTTACACTTATAACTGTTTTAGTTAACTACAATTAGTAACAGTAGCTCAGTTCATAACAGTAACAAACACTACACCTATAACCGCCTCAGTTAACTATGGTTAGTAATGTAGTTTATTTAGTAATGCAGTAACAAACAAGTAACTCATTCTGCTGGCTAAAGGTAGTGGCAGTAGTTTAGTTAGTAATGGTGATGGAAAACATCTGTGACACTACGATGGCTTTAAAATGTATCATGTAAAGGATTTAATGCTTAATAGTGAGACCAGTCACTCAACAACACATAGTATACTGGCCAGTTAGTATCAACCCCGAGACACCTCAGCTATTGAGTATACCACAGAAACAGCTGACTTCAACAGAAAGTGGAAGCTGATCAACTGAGGCTTTATGAAATCATTGGCAGATGTAATAACAAAACTGACGACCATTTTAAACTTCGTAGAATATTAAGAAATGCAGTCAGACAGTTATGATGCTGTTTCAGTTCTGTATTTCAGCAACTGGATTTGAAACTTTACTTTAGTCTACAAGGTTAAAGTGAAGAATGCCTGCTTTTTTACAGACAGCATTTACATCTATACTGGTTAACCATACACACACAGTGCTTGCACTCACAGTCACACTCCGCTCGGAAAAGAAACGTCCGATTGTGCGTGACTACTTCAAACTTCTGATCTCCCACATTAGCCACCCCCGTGATGGAGGAGGTTGGTATGATGCGTTTTGAATAGACATCCTAAGAAAAAAAGACATGAAGAAAGGAATAATAAATATGTTTAATATGATGAGACATTTTATTATACAAAGAAGTGATCTGCACTGGCATTATATTCACCTTCAATACTTATATAATGGAGAAGATGTCTGCTGGATTAATAAGATAATAAAATAAGACATTGCACCTTTTCATTGTCGAAGTATCTCAGGTAATCAGCGTCCAGTTTGACCCAGCGCCGCTGATAGATCAGTGACCTACAAAGAAAAAACACAAACCAGACAAAGTGAGCCTTATCTGGATATGGTTCACACACAACTCTGCTCTGGTCTGGAGTTCTACAGCAGTGCCTCCTACTGGAATAAAGAGGAAAGTACAATCATACATGAACTGGAGACTGCAGACACTGTTTAACATGCTGTTATCTATAAAAAAGGACTGCCTTTACTGTTCTCGCTATGTTACATACAAACTCAGTTCCAAAAAAGCTGAGACAGCAAGTAAAATGCAAAGAAAAATAGATATATTTTATCTATATTTAAACAAAAACAGTAAAAAGACAAGGTATTTAATGTTTTATCACATCAACTTCTGTGTTTTTGTAAATATATGATCATTCTTAAGTTGATGCCTGCAACAAGTTTTAAAAAGGTTGTGACAGAAGCAATTTAAGACAAACGTTCAGAAAACATGCTTGAGTATAAATGGAGAATCCTGGAAAGGCTGGTCCTCTATAAGCAAGGATGGGTCAAGGCTCACCACTTTGCCAAAACTGCACCCATGAATACACCAACCGTTTAGGAACAATGTTCTTCAATGAGTGTTTGCAAGGATTTTAGATATTTCACCCTCTATGGTGCAAAATATCATCAAAAGATTCAGGGCATTCGGAAAAATGTGTTAAAAATCAAGTTCGGAAACCATAACTGAATGCCTGTGATCCTTGACCTTTCAGACTGCATTGTATTGCATTAAAAGCCGGCAAGCTTTTATGATAGACATCACCACATGGGTGCAAGAATACTTTGACAAACTCCCGTCATTAAATGCTGATCATTGCTGTGTTCACAAATGCAAGTTAAGACTGTTCTGTGCACAGTGGAATCATAATGCTGAATGTTGTAAAGTCTTTAACAATGTTGAGAAACGCTGCTGACTTCTCTGGGCTTGAGCTCATATGAACTAGACTGATGCACAGTGGAAACATGTATAATGGTCTGACAATTCCACTTTTCAGACTGTTTACGGAAATAATGAAAGTCATGTTCTGTGGTCCAAAGAAGTAAAGGACCATCCAGACTGTTACTAGCGTAAAGTTTAAAAGTGAGGTTCTGTCATGGTACCGTATGGTGTGCAGCTGAAGACTTGTATAATAAAAGAATGGCAAAATTTGATTTCACGCTGTATCAGCTGGTGACTTCAGTCCCCAAATGTTTATTAAGTGCTGTTAAGAAGAAAGTTGCTGTAACACTGTGGTAAACATGTTCCTGTCCAAACTTTCTTGGAACGTGTTGCAGGCGTCATTTTTATAGATAAGAGCTTGCAATAAACCTCTTAAACAAGTCTATCTGATGTTACTTAACAACTATTTGAGGTTACTCAACAATTCATCCATGGCTTTAGGCATGCAGTTTGATACATTAGCCTCTAGTACCAAACTAAGCAATAAACTTAAGACACCAAACATGCCTTGGCTGATCAACTACATCTGGGCTAAGGGGGAGAAACTGTTCAAATTAGATTTTTTGGCAAACTGTTTCTTTAAACCTGGGTCTAAACTGCAATAATAATTTGTTCAATTGTAAAGATCTTCTACTTTGTCCAGTACAACACTTATTTTGGCCAGGAAACACAGCCATAGGCAGAATTTGTCATCCAACTAACTCACCCACAAAACAATATGTTCTCATGAAGGTGTTTAAAAAAAAAAAGATCTGGTTCTCAGCACTCAAACCACAGCATGTGGTATCTGTACATGAACTTGCATAGACACATTCAGTGCTTGTGGTAATTCGCTGCAGTGTAGAGTCTCTCCTTGTACTTATTTTAGTCAAAACATGAAAGATGACACTTGCATATATGTAAACATACATATACACACATATGTGCTGAACCGCAGAGCGTGTAAATATCACCTGTCCTCTGTTGCATCACTCACTACAGAGCCCCAAACTGCCCCTGGAAGCAACATTAACACAAGAACTGTGCATTATAAGCTTCATAAAATGGGTTTCCATGGCCAAATAGCTGCACACAAGCCTGTGATCACTATGTGCGATGCCAAGCGTCGGCTGGAGTGGTGTAAAGCACCAACAGTGAAGTTTGGTGGAGGAGGGATAATGGGCTGGGGCTGTTTGTCAGGGTTTGGGCCCCTCAGTTCCAGTGAAGGGTGATGTTAATGTTACAGCACACAAAGACATTTTAGACAATTATATGCTTTCAACTTTGTGGCAGCAGTTTTGTGAAGACCCTTTCCTGTTCCTGCATGACTGTAACCCTGTGCACAAAGCAGCTCCATTAAGACATGGTTTGATGAGTTTGGTGTGGAGGAACTCCAGTGGCCTGCACAGATCCCTGACTTCACACCCACTGAACACCTATGGAATGTCGATTGTGAGCTAGGCCTTCTCGTCCAACACCCAGTGCCTGACCTCACAAATGCACTTTTGACTGAATGGACACAACTCCAAAATCTTGTAGAAAGCCTTCCCAGAAGTGCAGAAACTGTTATAACCACAAAGGGGGGCAACTGCATATTTACATTATTTAATCCAGACACACTTTGTAGTGAATTTAGTGACTTTAAAGCAACACAGCCATTTACCTGCACACAGCTTTTATAATCTCCAGAAAACACACTGACCAACAGAATGGGACCCTCTGGAGCAGCTGCACATCCTATAGTCACAATGCTCAATGTCATGCGTCGGTAAGAGGGCTATAAAGCCACCCAAAATTGAGCTGTGGAGCAGTCGAACTGTGTTCTCTAAACTGGTGGAACTCCAGCCAACTCCTGATGAGTGGGAATTATCCAGAACTAAATCATCCAACATCAGTACCAGACCTCACTAATTTCTAAAGCCTTCCAGAAGAGTAGAGGCTTTTACTGCAGCAAAGGGGGGAAAAACTCCCCGTTAACACTTTTGATTTCAAAAGAAACACTATAAGAATATAAAAAAAAGTCCTACCCCTGTGGAGGGTTCTTGTCTAGCCAGCCCATCTTAATGACTGGAGTGAGCTGAGGGGTGGAGTCTGCTTTGGGGGGCTGGGCTAAAACCTGTCCTGTGGTTGGCAGATAGATGCTGTTCTGAGAGCTGGGAAGTGAGCCGTAGTCCTCGATCCACAAATCTCTCCTGAAACATACAGAGAGATTAAAAAAATCCAAAATAATTAATAAACCTCAAACACTGAAAAGCTTCTCATAGCTGTCACAACAGAACCATGTATCTCAAAATGGTGCACTTACAGCAGCAATCATAACTTTTAATGAACCGAAGGAGATTCTAGTGCCAGTAATTTCTAAATTATTTCTAATCTCCTTAAATTTAGATATTAAGTTATAACAAAACAGACACAGCTTTCTTCTATCTTCTGAGCGAAGTCATATACTGGCAGAAAGAATGTCACTTTATGAAAATCCTCTGGTTTTCATTAATCTCCTAAATCTCCCGGTTGGGGAGTTAGGTGTAGACTAAGAAAAGTGGCCTTTAATGCTGAGCAGTGAGACGCTGCACTCTCCGCAGTGCTCACAGTCACACTGCTCTTTCCTTCAGCTGACCTTAGGCACAGTGCACATCACTCACAAGCGGCTGATGTGGACCCACTTTTGTTCTGTGATGAACTTTCGTTGTTGACTCAGGTCAGAAATATATTTAGTAACTGCTATAACTGGTATAATCAGCAACTACAATGAATTATTCAGTAAAGACTGAATTATTCAATATCTACTATAAACTATTTAGAGCTACTATAAAATATTCAGTAACAACTATAAAAATGGAAAAATTGCTTCCAATCAAAAAGCATCACAGCGTTAAAAGGTCAAAAGCTCACTCACTTGTCCGGCACAGGTTCGTAACAGAGGTCACCCTCATCCTCAAGCAGTTCATCGTCACTGCACAGGCTGTTGTAGCGGGGCTTAGACTGGCCAGGAACCAGCAGGAACGTGCTCTAATGAACAACACAATGGTCAGTCAAGAGACTGCTCAATTATATTGGACGGTAATTTTGTCTAGCATGCAGTTGAACACACACGCTGCTCAGGTACGTTATAATGGGGTGCAAATGTAGGTGTCCAGTTGACCAGCTACACTCAGCTACACTCACAAAACAGCAAGACGAGATTTATGAATAAAACTTCCACATATTGATCACTTTTGTGAGTCGTTTTGCTTTCATTTACCAAAGCATTGATTTTTAAACCACAGATTCAGAACCTCTAGTGGCCACTATTATACAAAATATATAAATGGTTTATATTTCAGGAGCTGAAAAGGTCAAAGTCCTACATGCAAGAATCAAAAGCACAGCCCACTTCTATCAGAAACACTTTTTATTCTCCTTTTCAACTGGTACAGCACACACACGCACCTTGTCTGCCATGTCTAAGGGATCACCGTTTCCGCATTTGTCCATGTGCAAGTCCTCATACTCATCTGAACTGTCCGAAGAGTCCACCAGCCCTGAAAAAGAGAGGGGCAGAATAACGAAAGAGAGCATGTCAAGTTAGAGAAAAGCCAAAGAAGGACACAAAAAAGGGAATATTGTTTATATAATCAATTAACTTAACAACTACTGTATTATGTTATAATCTACATGTTTGTTTTATGTTAGTAACTGCACAATAACTGGTTTCATTTATCTAACTATTATGTCCTACGTAGAGTTGGCCCGAATAATTTGAACTGTCGGGTATTTGTTCATTAAACAGGTATTTGTATTTTGTTTAGTGTTTGGAAGCTTATAATACATTTTTAAAAATGAAGTTAAGAATTGCAGCCTAAACTGAAAGAGGAAAGTTTATGAAATCCCAGGGTGGTTGCTAAGATGTTGCTGGGCCGTTGCTATGCTATCCCAGGTGGCTAATAAGGTGTGGCTCGGCCGTTGGTGTCTTCTGAGGATGTAAGTGAAATATTTACTGTTACCTACTCATTATTTACTCACGACAGCTTTATTAGCATAATGTTGATTTTGCAACTGACACGTAAACATCAAACCGGACCTGCTTTTTCGGCCCTGTGCGCGACATTAATGAATAAAGACGTGTGGCATGGTCAGAAAAACTCCTGTGTAATCTGACTAGCGATGTACTGTGTAAGTAGCAGGGAGCAGCAATGGTTCAGTCCTCGCTGATGCGCTACTGACACAAAATTAGAGGATAAAGACTTAAAACTGAGCGAGTAAAGTTGAGTAACTGGTGTTGGTGCAACAGAAAGACAGAAAATATCCTGTTCTGTGGTTTGCTGAGCCACCCAAGATAGCGCTAGCATAGCCAGCTCCACTGTACTCTCTTAGCACCGTTCAACATTTAGCGATTGTTGGTAATGACGGTTTAAAACTAGGGATGGAAAGACTGATCGGAACTGGCCTGTTTTCAGCTTAAATATGTAATCAATTTTCCTTTACTTTGGTCGGTACAGATCCAACCAGTGACACAAAATACGCAGACCAAATTTCACTCCCTGCACTGAGAGGAAACATTTAGTCTGACAGTTTTTAATAATGCCTGACTCACATCAAGCCAATATCATTTGCGAAGTCTAAAGCAAACACCAATTTATCTTTTTACACCATTAACAAGATACAACACTTTAGAGTTTACCATCCAGCCAAGTACAGCGAGCATCAGAAGCTTGGAGGACTAGCAAAGATGGGCAACAATACGGATTCTTGAGTGTAACAATAATACATAAGAATAATTCACAATTTATTACCTGAAATGATGACAATACTAACAGGAAATTAGAACACAAAAATCAAACACCAACTGAAATTAAACACAAACTGAAACCCAGCAAAGTTTACTTATACAACATGGTCAGATTCTGAGGAGAGTTTCGGGAGAGTCCACTCACTGCTCTGAGAGGGGGTTAAAGGAACTCCTTTCTTGGGGCTTTCCTGGTGAGATTTGGGTCGGGGTGGGACGTGCGGAGCTTGATCCGCATCCAAAAGATCATCTGCTGGAGAGGAGCTGGAGAGGGACAAGGAGGGGATGTTATTATATACAATTATAACACTGAATACTGCAATACCACTCCTAATACATTATTAACATATATGCAGTACTGTGCAAAAGCACTTAAGCACAATGTTTAAAAGCATTTATCTAAAACAGGGGTTCTCAACCTTTCCCACCCCAAGGCTCTTCTAAGTATAACTACAAAGCACAGCAGCCAATAGAAATACAACAGCATTTTTCTTTTCTTAAGTGCTGACACTGAAAATCTGAGAATCAGGGCCTGAAAATGATCAGAGAGTCCATTTCAATTCAATCACAGAAACCAAAAAATAAAATTAGGCCTAAATAAAAAAACATTACATAATGTTAAAAACATATATTTGCAGAGATGTTAAAAAAGGGGGAAAAAGCAAAACGAACAGACATGTAGGAGGTAGATGTGGACTGTGATCATGTCACTGTAGTCCAAAAATTATATGAGAGCAAATAAGTCTGTGAAGAATGAGACGTAAAAACAAGCAGGAAGTGGACCGAGACCCTTGGCTTTTATCGGAATAGTTCAGCAAACCGAAATACAGGGTGGAGTATTCACAGATATCAAAACGGAGCGAACTAAAAAAACCTGATGGGTCCACACCAACGAGGCAGGTGTGAAAGCACCCTGAGCAACTTCTCCATCTCTGGCTCGCTGTCTGCATCGCGCGGCCCGGGCCGAGCTGTCCCAAACGCTAACGGTTATTTACCCTATTCCTGCAGTGTTTTTATTTGTACGTATATTGGTTATAAACTGAAAACACTTGTTTCTTTGATTTTTAATTATTAAGTTCATCTTTTTTCCCCAGTTATGTTTTTATGACTTTATGAAAGTGACGTTACCGGCCCACTACGAACTACTGCCTCCCCCTGAGAACAGGCCCTTGGACCACTACAGGGTGCATCACAGCCCACTGGTGGTCCGCTGATCTAAAACACTGTCTGACATAAACACTGGAAGTGGAATACACTAAGTTGGCTTGACAAAGCCGTTGCGATGAAATCCCAAGTGGCTGCTAAAGGCATTTTGTTATCCCAGGTGGTTGCTAAGAAGCTGCTAGGTTGTTGCTATGGAATCCCAGCTAGTTGCTAATTTGTTATTGAGCTGTTGCTATGGGATCCCAGGTTGCTAACGTGTTGCTAGACCATTGTATTGGTCTCCGAGATGGTGAGGTGTTGCTAGGACATTGCTGTGGTCCCTGATGTGGTTTGTAAGGTTTGGTTCCAAAAGCAAAAGCACATTATTCCCATAAAGGATCCATGATCCCGCAGTTTTGTGGTTCTAGCTCAAAAATTGCAACCCATGAAAAAGGTAAGAAAATAAGAGTAAAATGACTGAAGTACTGACTAGCCAAACTGCTAGACAACAACTCCATTTTACAGTACGAGATGTACCAATCTAGTGGTCAAAGACTGGCCTGCATGGGTCTGACCAAAATAAGTTACTACTGCTGGAGTACATGAACATCTTGATTTATCAAAGCACCCACAGTAGAACTCAACTGGAGCTGCAGCTGGTCAGGACACTCACAGCACCAAGTAAGAAAGTGACCGGTTAGAGGTCTCACTTGCATATTGCAGCTGATACAAATACTGTAAAGCACAAGATTGTGATAGAGATTAACACAATGTATGGGCAGGTCTTTTCACATCAACAGCCGCAACAAACACCACTGAAAATGAAATTCTGCTGCTGGTGTACACCCATGTCACTGAGAGAGAGCGAAAGTGCACGTGTGGGAGGTTTCCTCTCCTCTGTTTGCTAATGTTGGTTTTGTACATTTGCTCCCCATTTGCTGCTTGACTTGTATAAAGATGTGCAGCTCAACAGGACATTTCTTTGCTGCAAGTTTACGTGCGTAATATATTAATACATTCATCATTCACTTTATTAAGAAGACCGTCTTGTATCTCCACACACTGTCCATCAGCTCCAGCAGCACTGCTGTGTTGTTCCACTCGCACCAGCGCAACACACACTAACACACCACCACCACGTCAGTGTTACTGCAGTGCTGAGAATGACCCACCACCCAAATAGTACCTGCTCTGTGAGGGTCCATGGGGGTCCTGACCACTGAAGAACAGGGTAAAAGGGGGCTAACAAAGTATCAGAGAAACAGATGGACTACAGTCTGTAACTGTAGAACTACAAAGTGCACCTATATAGTAAGTGGAGCTGATAAAATGGACAATGAGTATTGAAACTAATTGAAGGAGCCTAATAAAGTGCTCAGTGTGTGTATAATATACAGTACTTTGCAAGAGTCAAAGTTTATTTAATTTCCAGAACAGACATTAGGTAAAAGTTATTTATTTATAGATATTTCTAAAGAAGATTAGATACAACATAATCCACTTGCATGAGGAAACGAAAAACTAAGAAGTTTCCAAGGGGCTCCCGAGTGGCACAACTGTCTAAGCAGTGGCCTAATCATCAGGAGACTGGAGTCCAAGAGAGAATAACTGGTGTCGCTTTCTCCCCCTCTTACTTTTCTTAACGTTTCTTAGTGGACATAACAGAATTGGCAGCTAGCTTTCTCCTCCAAGTGCGTTCAGCTGTCCAATGTTCAATGATGTTGAATCAGCGGTGGCGCTTCACGTGGCTCGGAGGAGGCATGTGCTAGTCTTCACCCTCCTAGGGGAGAACTAGCTAACAGGTGGAATTGGACAGCGCCAAACTGGGGAGAAAACTGGAGGAAAATGCCAAAAGGAAAAGAAAAAAACTAGTTTCCAAAAAGTAGAGTTTTAAATTGTAAAATGTATTTAAAACATAAAAAAATGAGACTCCAGACCTGATAGAACACCAAAACTACCCCATCAGATAAACAGCACTTTGAGAGAGAGGAGAAAATCAAGCTGCTTCAGATCTGAAAACATCCACAGGTGTTTCTGTCCATCCTTCCACTGTGAGAAGACGACTCAGTGCTGTGGGTCTGAAAGGATGTGTAGCTGATCAAGAAGAACCTCACTGAGAAAAGAAAAAAGAATAAAGAAGAAACAGAGAAGCTGCTGGTGTTCTCAGAACAATGGACTGACCACTCCAGAGTCCAGACCGCAACATCACTGACTTCCTTAAGATTACCTAGTCTGTGAGAAGCAGAAAATGCAACCAACTTCTAAGACTGAACTTCAGGGGTGTGGAAGAATATCCCTGCAGATTTCTTTGAAACAATGAGTGCGTTTACATAATCCGATAACCGCAGAAAATCAGATCCAATCAACGTGTTTACGTGCAGTTGAGTAATAGTAAAGTCAGACAGTAATCAGATTTCTGCTTTGCAACCGGCCAGTAAACCCACAGAAGAAGACGTGACATAAGCGTAACGTAAAACTGAAACTTTACCTGAAAATAGGAAAACACACCATCTAGAAGTAGAAGATGAAGAATATTTAAATCCTTTATTATGTGTTTGGTTTCAGCGCCGCTCCTAAAGTGTTTTGTTGCCGTCTCACGGCAGCGCTGCTTATTTCTGGTACTGCCGTCTTTTTTCACACATGCGCAGACTGAGAAATCCGAAAGAAATCAGAGTAAGAGTTCACATGCATGTAAACACACTCAGTGAAAGCTAGTCTCCTGAAAATAATACAAGCAGTAACGAAGGCAAAGCGTGGATGGAAACATTTGTACTATGTTTAGTGAAATTTCCAGCTAAAAATATGTTTCTGTTTTCTCTGACACTGAAAAACATGAGCTTTGTACCTAATGGGCGTTTCTACCGGACACTGAATACATGAAGCGAGATCTCTGAGTTTGGCACAGTTCTCTGTTGTGAACACAAAGACACAAATTAAATCAACACAGAGAGTGAGAGCATCAGTGAGAGTGAACAAAGTGTGAAAAAGAGAGAGAGAGAGAGAGAGAGAGAGAGAGAGATGGAAAGTGAGAGAGCAGAGTGGGTGAGAGTGAGAGAAAGTGTAAAAGAGAGCGAGAAAGTGAGAGAGTGAGAGAAAGTGGGTGAGAGTGTGAGAGAGGGGAGTGGGTGAGTGAGAGAGAGAGGAGAGTTGGTGAATGTATGAGTGAGAGAGAGAGTGAGAGAGAGAGAGACAGTGACAAGAGTGGGTAAGTGAGAGAGAGGAGAGTGGGTGAGTGAGAGAGAGAGAGAGAGAGAGAGAGAGACAAAGAGACAGAGAGGGGAGAGTGGGTGAGTGTATGAGTGAGAGAGAGAGAGCGAGGAGGGAGAGTGGGTGAGAGAGAGAGGGGAGTGGGTGAGTGTATGAGAGAGAGAGAGAGAGAGAGAGAGAGAGAGAGAGAGAGAGAGAGAGAGAGAGAGAGAGAGAGGCGTCACCACATCACTAGGTTTCAGTAGGAATTTCCCAAAGAGGCTTTTGCTGCTACTGAAGCAACAAAAGCCTTGCAGGCTCCGCCCACTTCAGTCAGCTCTCGCTGCCTTTCCACTCCAAACCCCCAACACACCCCCCGAAAAAAGAGACATACTTAAGTTCATCTATAGCATACAGACAACAACAAAGTACTTTTTATTTCATGCGTTTTATGAGACATTTAAATTATACTTTTCTGTATATTTTGAAAAGTGTATTTTTATAAATTAACACATTTTAAATTATGCTTTATTATGCTGTACAGAAATACATTTACAATACATTCTAAACATACTGAAGCACACTTAAGAGTATACGTCATCAACTTTAGTGGCCTATTTAGAAGCAAGTTTTAAAGCTGTGACTTTTATAGTATGTTTTGGTACATTTTAGTGGTGATATAACTCAAACTAACTAGTGATCAAACATAGATTTCACGTTGTTTAATGTAACGCTGCTGTCGGAACATACAAATGTATTTAAATGTATTTAGTGACACTGAAATGTAACTTAAATGCATTTTAGTTCCAGTACACAACAGTATCACTACATCCAGTACTACAGTTAGTTGTTTACTTATAGCACTGTTATACAGGGTACACTCAAAACAAACAAATGCATTTAATATATATTTAAACACAGATTCATTATAATTT